AACCGTGGTTAACAGAATGAAAAAATATTTAAAGCTAAGAATAATGAGTACAATGAGGCAGCTGACATCATTAAAAGGCAATATTAAAGGTAAGAACAATAAGTATAAAAATGTTAAAGGGGGTGTGTGGAAGCAGTCCTCTGCCAAAGATTTATAGAAGACACCTCAAATTGCAGGGGTATGACCGGTTTTCCAGTCTGCGTGTGCTCATGAGATGAAAGTCACCATTTAATTTAATCCCAGAGCTGCTGCTTGGATTCACCATTGAAAGCCTGGTGCTGATTTAGGGTCGCTTTCTTGGATCGCAGTCCACAGTCTGCTCAATCCGGTGCCACCACCGTCTGCTGGCCTTGTGAATGGGGTTTTTGCAGAACTCGAATGGAGAGGGTTGTGGATTGCAGATGAGGGTGCAGATTAGTCCGGATGAGGCAAGGCACGCTTGTGCCTGACAAAATGAATCCTGCCCCAGAGTCCACTTGGTACCGTGGTGTGTAGTCTGTGTACGCACGCAATCCTATGGGCCCTTGACAGAGACACACTGTCCTGGACACACAAAATGCCGTTGGGGTATTAATTTAAAATCTTTCTCAGCCCGCCTTTCTCCTTTAAAAAGGGGCCAAGCCGGCTCAGTTAAAAGACAACCTTTAAAAGCTGAAAACACTATATAGGCAAAAGAATTGAACAAATACCACAATAGAGGTGGTGAATTCACAGGTACTTAGCATCAGGTCCCATTTTACAAATTCAAAGAGAACGTGGATCCTGTCACAGGCTCCCTTTCACACACCCTCCCTGTTACGATAAAGCACCCGTTAAAAGAAATGTATCCCAACCTATGTGTACATGGCCACAGGCCATCAAACATGGTGGTGTATTTCCTTCCTCGGGTGGAGCCACAACATACTTCAGAATCCGAAACACTATTAAGTTTGAAAATTAAAATTAATTTACTGTATTAATTATAATATTTATACACACCATCTTTATCAAGGATATCATCAAACCATTCTTTTTTTCTCTCCACAAGGAATGTGACGTGTACCTTTTTTCTTGACATTACGTTTTTACTGTGTAGCATGTAGCCCTTCTCAAGCAGAAGGGAACTACAGTATAATATTAGGGCGCTGATACCCCATGGGCAATAAAAACCAAGCCAAAAGGAATACTAAAGTTTAGATTCCTCTGTTCCCATGCCTCTTCTTTCTTCCCACCCTGTTAAAAGTTTCTGCATAAATATACGCAAGTGACATTGCAGTAAGTCCAAACTTTGTTTTCCCACCTTCTCAATTAGTCGCCGACCCACCAGAACCTGATCCAGCTTGACACAGTTCTGCAGCAACCAAAAGGTCTAGCTACAGGCTTCAGGGATCATGCTCAAAACAATGTTTTTGAAGAAAACCTCGGCCCTACAGGCTCCGTGCAAGATAAACCTTGTTTGATTTCCGCAGATCCTGACTTAGAAGGCCTCTCTCTAAACCAGAAGAGTTCCAGCCTCTTGCTTAAAGGCCTCGTTGAGCCGGCTTGGCCCATGCCACAGGTGGTTACAAAATTGCTTCTCTGAGTGAAGAAAAGGAAGACAGAATATATCCACTCAAACCAGTTCAACACAATTGTCCAACCATTAACATCATGTTTAAAAATATATCAATTTTTTTCCCCTTTAGTTTGTCTGATAGGCTGGTTGAAAAACCGCAGGCTGTTTCTTGACTGGTCCTTTAAGAGAAACCAAAGAAATGACTATTTTTTGTCCAGCTGTTCACATTCACACACAGTTGTTGGGAATACCACAGTATTGCCACAGAAGGTGGCACAGGAAGGTTGTCCGCCGCCTTCACACGACAGCAATATTTTTATTTAAAACTTTTTACAGCATGTGGAGGAAGTGTAACTGAGAGTGGTGAACTGGCCCTTTATAAAGCAAGAGTCGCTAGCCTCAAGTTTAAGTTTTAATTCCCAGGAGCCTTGAGAAATGCCACAGCATGTCCTTTAAGAGAAACCAAAGAAATGACTAATTTTTTTTAATGATGCAACGCCTCAGCTGTATTATCAAAGGGTAAAAGAAATTTCACTTCCCCTGTCCCTTCACCGAGGAGTAGAGGAAGTGTTTAATTTGCCACTATCCTGAAGCAGCTCACTTATTAAGCCCCTACACAAGATCGGAAGGAGACGGACTGAAAAAGGGCTGTTTGCTTGGATGTGAGGATTGCACCAAATGACATATCACACCTTGCTCTCTGCCGTGTAACAGGGATAGAGTAACTCTCTCTCAGTGGGTACCCTCCAGTCCCCAGGGCCGACATAACCTCGAAGACCTCGGTTTAGATCCCTCTCTCACAGGAGGGGGTGCATCTGCTTCTTCAGGTTCCCGTGTGGGAGACCCTACCGATTACTCAAGAGAAGACTGGGTGGGGAACATGGACGCTGGGTTGGAATGCGATGGCTTGCCCACAGGGACATCCATGACTCCGTCCTCCTCACGAATTGCTTATGGTATATAGAGACACAGGGTGCCTTTTCTTTGCCTTAGGACTAGTGAGGTTGATCTGAAATAACTGGACTGAACATTCAAACATCTCCATTAATAGCATTATTGAATCTGATTAAGGAAGATCAATTGGTGAAAGAAAATAAGGATTTAATAGTAATAATGGTTACGGCGGCAAGGATAATATTTGCAAGGAACTGGAGAAATGATAATCAATTTAATTTGGAGGAATGGTATAGAGAATTATGGGACATGGCAATCAATGACAAACTGACATGTGATATGAAAATAAGTAGAGGCCAAATGAAAAATAATGATTTTTAAGAAAATATGGAATGTATTTCTGGAACATGTAATTCGGAGAGGGAGGGGGTTTACACCGAGAGAAGAAACACTGAAATTTTGGAGTGAAAATGGATGGAATGAAGTGTAATGCTGGTCCTGAAGGTGATGGGTGCACATAGGTAATTGTATTTTATTGTATCATTTTGTTTTGTATTTTATATAGGGTTTTTTGTGTAGCAGTAGGTTTATTTTGTATTAATAAAAAAATGTTGAAAAAAGACTAGTTAGGTTGTTTGCTGAAGTTAGACTTCAGGATTGTAAAATGTGGAACCCTGTTTTACAGCAGGTGTTTTTTTTCCAGGCTTATTGTTTATTTGGTCATTTGTGAGATTCTCCCTGTTGCCAGTAGGTGGTGGTAGTAGGGCCTTTTGGGCCTCTCTTCACCATTAAATACCAGAACATTCCTTGCCACCCCCATCCCCTTCCTTCACTGTCCAGCTTTCTTGACTGGTCCTTTAAGAGAAACCAAAGAAATGACTATTTTTTGTCCAGCTGTTCACATTCACACACAGTTGTTGGGAATACCACAGTATTGCCACAGAAGGTGGCACAGGAAGGTTGTCCGCCGCCTTCACACGACAGCAATATTTTTATTTAAAACTTTTTACAGCATGTGGAGGAAGTGTAACTGAGAGTGGTGAACTGGCCCTTTCCTTTAAGAGAAACCAAAGAAATGACTATTTTTTGTCCAGCTGTTCACATTCACACACAGTTGTTGGGAATACCACAGTATTGCCACAGAAGGTGGCACAGGAAGGTTGTCCGCCGCCTTCACACGACAGCAATATTTTTATTTAAAACTTTTTACAGCATGTGGAGGAAGTGTAACTGAGAGTGGTGAACTGGCCCTTTATAAAGCAAGAGTCGCTAGCCTCAAGTTTAAGTTTTAATTCCCAGGAGCCTTGAGAAATGCCACAGCATCACCGTTTTAATACCTGTGATTTCATCATAAATGCAATTTTAAAATAAAGGTGTAGACCTCTTTCATTTTAGGGAAGGAGAATAAGAATTCACATGCCCACCCAGGCTGGGAGAAGACATACTCAAAATAATGGTTCTCAGGTTTATTATGAATACGGTCGTGATTATCAGTTGATAGATTTTTAAGAGCCCTTTTCTAATCTTGGTCCCCAAAGATAATGAGTTTGATGCTAGCACAGTGGTCAGGGAACAGGGGTAAATTACTCCAAATGGGGTAAAAGGGTAAAAATGAAAATCCTGAGGGTAATGAGGATGAGCAGAGCCCCAATATTGATGCTCTCATATCCAAGATGAAGCAACATCATTTCTCCAAAACTGAAGTTTTCAAGTAAGTTGAAACTTTCAAAATAATTTTGAATAGATTCAATAAGATTTTGAATTCAAATAATGTATGATTTCCTTCCTTTCAAATCAAGGGGGTAATGTCGACATATATAATTTTTTTGGGGGGGGGGTAAAAGGTAAAAAAGTTCCCTGATCCC